AACCTTATATTCACTTTGCTTAATAGACTTTAAAATTTTACAAATTTTTTATTATACACTATCTTTTTCAATTTAGACTTTTTTGATTTATCAATGTCATCAAACTTATTTTTTTTAGCCTTCTTTTTCTAAAATTTCTCAATCTCTCTTATTCGCTCTTTTTTCAGCTCCTCAAGAATGTAAAAGTGACTACTTTGAGGTATTTCACTAATAACAGTAATGTTTGAAATAACATGGATATCAAAACTCACACCTTACGTTTGGTCTTCCTTTATATTGCCATAATAAACTTTTGCATTATATCTCTAAGATACCACTTTCTTGTCTTTTTAAAGGAGTAATGTAGTTATTATATGTAAAATGATGGGCCTTGATCCATTAGGAGATAGAGTAGTCACACATTTAATATAATAAATGACCAGTAGTTTTATTTAATTATATTTTGTTAGAAAAAAATGTCTTTACAGGACACAAAATTGTTCAAGAAACATTGTTATAAAAAAAAAAAAAGGAGTTAAATTTTACTTTTTAACAAGGGCATTCTTACAAAGTGTATGTTATCCTATCGGGAGAAGGGCGATTCTCAACTTGTTATTGGTGTAGTTAGAGATCATGTGTTTGAACTTTGAAGACGAGTTTTAATTAACCATACCGCAAGGGAAAAAGAACAAATCTATACATTTCAATACACTTCAATTTATCCATGTTTACCCGGAAAAAAAGATTATGTTTCTTAATTATCTCTGATGATGATTTTATTTAGTCACCCACTTATTTATCGCATAGATTCGATTTACACTCAAATTAATTCCTTTCACCATAACATATGACTAAAATAAATTTAAATGTACATCTTAATTATATTTAACAGCTTAAAATTAATTTTATCAAAATTAATTACATGAATAATTTGAAAAGAAATGACGTACATAATAATGAGTTGGCAAAGATCACTGTCCACTTGCTGCTGGATATGAACAAAATTTCGCAGGTTAGGTGCAGTCACATCCAATAGTGAAACAAGAAAAATTTATCAATTCTTTTGAACGGTTTATTGATAGTCTAAAAGTGACAACAATTTTAAAGATAGCAGAATATATGGTCTTATTAACTTTATAAAGCTGAATATTTGACCCCTTAGTTTGTTTAACTCCTTTCGAATTTTCTCCATTTGAATCTTTCCCCTTTGTTTTTTTGGTTGTTACTTGTTAATTATCTGGGCCCAGCTCATTTATCATATCATATGTGGTGTTCCTTAGTTTGAAGTCAATTGTTCCACCCACACGTGCACGCACGCATTTGCTGCTTTTACTTTGAATAATTAGCACAGACGTGAACATTGTACCATGGAAAGTAACCTTTTCCAAGCAACATAAAAAAGGATAACTAGAAGAAAACATTGATTGTTTAAGCATGTTTATTTAGTGTTTCTAGCTTACACGAATCAAGATATTTTTATGAATTAGAACAAAAAATGTAATTGAATTTATAAAATAGATAGAGAGTGTGTGTGTGAGAAAATAAGACTACTATTTGAGATAAAATGTTTTCATTAAATAACTCTATTTGATGTTGCTTTGCGTATAAAACATGTTACACACTACAAAATATGATAGTAGTTCGATCGACATGACAAGGCACAAATGATGAACAAGTGAAAAATTTGTAACCACTCGTTTCTTTAGCTGTAATATATGGCTTGGGTACATCAAATTGGACAAAAGAAAAAAGAAGTGTAGAAAAAAGATAAAAAAAAGCCATGGAATATTTCTTTTGCTTCTTTAATTTCTTTTCGAATCTTTGAGTTCGGCCATTCAAATGGGATCAATCTCCACAAGCCTGTGTCTTCAAAAGTTGGTGCCTATACTATATTTTGTCTTTGACTACACATCAACTTGATGAACTTCGTAAACAATTACCTTAATTTTGATCTCCTACATAGTCTTTGACTACACAGCAACAAAAGAAGCGTGACAACAATAATAATTGCAACATTGATGATATTGTTGATTGTGATGAAAAGGAAGTATATGGTGTTGGTGACATAGGTAGCAATAATGATGTTTCTTGCAGCAGCAACAGTGATCGATCGTGGTAATTCAAATGAGACTACATATTAAAACAAAAACAAAAAATACCTGTTGTTTTTTGTTCTTCAGAAAAAGAAATCAAATTACATTATGTTGAAGGAGAGGACCAAAATTATAGCATATTGGTAGCTTTTTTGTTCTAGTGTTTATTCAAATGCAACAGTAGAAGTAATGCAGCCTGAGGGCTGATGAGTTAAAAGATGCCTAAAAGAAAAACTGTGAAAATTCTTTTCAAAGATACAAATGGTTATTATACATCTATATAGGCTTCATACTCCTAAGACAGAAAAAAAGGGGGGAAATGGAATAAATAATATGATGTATCATAAAAAAAGAGATTTGTTACTCTTTCCGTGTTATTTCCTTTAATTTTAATTACTCATATTTAAATTTTTAATTATTTAAATTAAATCTCCCATATTTAAAATTTATATAATAAATAACCAAAATATAACAGAAATATAATTTTTATAAATTAATGAAAATATATATAATATTTAAATAAACATAATAAATTGAATAAAAAATACAAAAAAATTAAATCGGTTTATAAATTATTTACTTGTGAATTAATACACATTAAGGATGTATCACATCTTTATTATTTTTACACAAATTATTCAATGAAATTTTGAAATAAGAGACTTAATTTGAAAAATTAAAAAAATATATAAAAAATAAATGTGAGCAATTAAACTTAAAGAAAGTAAAATCATACCTAAACCAAAATATATAGATTAAAAAACAACTATAGAATGTTAAAGAAACATAACTGATTTCATTTGGCTAGCTACCGGTGATGCGCATTGAATAGAAAGAAGACTTACTTATTTATTTTTTTCTACCGCACAGCGTATTAGGAACCTACAAAATGACGCTTGTGTTATTTATGAAAATCAAATGGGTCTTTACAAAATTACATTTAAAATGAAAACGGCACATACTGCATCAAAGATTATATAATCATATCTTCCTCACACAAATGCTTGATACTGCTAATTAACTGGACTAGAATGTCACTATATTCTGTTCACATTTTGTGAGTTTTATTCTTGCTAATACCCTTTTTTACAATGCTTCAATAACAAAATATTATATATCATTGTTTCAATTTCTCATTTATTGTTTATATATATGTTTAAAAACATGTCTCAAACATATATAAAAAAACTTAAAAGTAAATCTTATTAATAATATAAAAAATAGTCTTGATCCAATAATGTTAACTTGGAGGGAGAAACATTTGGATTTCCCCTCCTTGAAAACACTCGCGTCAAAAGAAAATAAAAAAGAATGTCATATTCTAATAATTTAATATTTATAAGTTTTTTATATCCTTCTTCTTCATGTTCTCCAGTGTAGAACTTGGATAATAGTACTCGCATTGATATAAAAAATAAAACAATTTACGCCAAAAATCTTTTTAAAAATCATAATTCATACCATTGTTTTCTGATTATTATAGTTTATACCTTTAACAATCAAATTTTATCACACATTTTCAAGACACTAAGATCAAGTCGAATCAATCCAAATATATATAGAATGAAATTAAAATCCTAAAGAACAAAGCAGGAGAAATTGTATGTACAGTGATGCTAGCTGTGACTTTGATGATAATAATGTAATAACTAGGGCTGCATTACCCTTGTTGTCCTGTTTGTGTCCTCTCTTCCCATGTGGAATAGACACTTTATCTTAGCACCACATGTCACATGGGGTGACATAAATAGGTGCTTGTATACGTTCATGTGGATCAAAAGTGGTCCTATGCCATGGTTAATAATATGTAATGAGCAATTGACATTTTTTGTTGAAAAATGTTAACCATTCTTTTTAATACACTGATTAAATTTTTAAAAAATTATCAAAAAAATTTATTTTTGCAATTTTTAATGCATTCTTATAAAAATAAAATAAAAAATTACTATATATTATTTTTTTAAAACAATTTACTAAGAAGACTAGTCAGTAAGTGAGAGACGAAGGTCATTTTGTGTAATGGTGCAGGCATTCACAGCTACAGGAATTCCAAGGAAACTACTGGAAGAGTTTTAGAATAAGTTGGCACTTTGGCATAAGAAAATATTGAAAATTATAACTAATTGAAATGATATATAAATTTCTTTATTTTTTATAAACACCAAGAAATTTTTACTAAAGAAATAATATAAATAAATATCTTAATTTTATTATGTAAAATTAAATTATTTATTTCTTAAGACAACATACATAATAAATAAATAATTGCAAGAAAGTAAAGAATACAGTAAAAAAGAATGAGAAAAAAAAAATCATTTCTACTCCAACCAATTTCCCAGTTCCACAAAAACAAAGACATTTCAACGATGGAGCAGAAATAGATATTAAACAAACAGGAAACAGGACCTGTCAGCTTCACTGCCACAAATGTCAAATATTTACAACTATTTATACAAACACGATACATCTTTTAATTCTGAATATTATATCCCTGCCTTTATATATTGAAAGAATTACATCAACATTTTTCTCCAAAAAAGCATTTATAATTCACTCACTATATAATACTAATTGCATTTCTTGATCGATATTAATTTTTATATGGATACAAAAGAAACTCATCAATGTACATAAATTTCGTTTTGAATATATTCATCATAGTGCTTGAAATCGAAAATTGTTTATGACCCACGGAAGTGATTGTCGTGTTGAATTGATATCCCACACGCACACAAGCACAGAAAAAAATTGAAGATTAATAGCTACAATTTAAACTTGATATACGCGTAAAACGTTCAAAAATTGAGAGATAAGGGTTATTGCACTTCTAATAACTAATTGAGGTCCTAATAAAAAAAGAAGCTAAGACTTATTACTTATGAGAGTATATACATATACAAAAATAAAAAGATGTTAGATCCTTTTTATTTACACGTTAACAAAGGGTGGAACCACCGAAGCCGGTTCGTAGCAGAACGGAGCCGCGGGGTGCTGCCACTTCTTGAAAACCACTTTTTCAGGCTCTGAGCTTTGCCGGCGAGGCTGCGACGGCTCCTCCTTCTGCGCCAGCGGCGGAGGCGGAGGCGACGACGCCAGCGGCGACAGGAGCGGAATCGCGACGTTCCAATCCACGGCGCGGTTTATCTGCAACGACGACGGAGCACGGCTCTGCAACCGGCTTGGCTGCCGGCGAGAGGGTCGGTTCCTGTTGGCGTCTGACATAGACGGCGGCGGGTGGCGGTGGCGCTGAGATCGACGGCGAAGAGAGGGAGAGAGAGTGTGTGTGTGTTATGTTGTGAGTAAAAGAAAACGGTGGGTGTTTGGGGTATAAATAGAGGGGCGTGCGGTGCACACGTTTGGAATCTGAAACTGAAATGATTGAAGTCGGCTCCGCTCGGCTTATTGACCTGGCTTGACCGGCTTAATTGTATCGTAGCCATATATATTATTAAGAATAAAATCCATTTTTATAATTAAAGTGTTGAACTTACATAACTTTGATCCTTTAAAGATAAATAATGTTAATTTATTTTTTTAATTGAAAAATGATATTATAATTATGCTTGTATCAATAAACTGTAACATTAAATGATTAAATTGATTCCATTTTTATTAACAAATAGAAAAATTAATGTCAATATTTTTAATAAGTAAAAGTTAGTTGATATGATTTTATTTTAAACAAACTAAATTAATATCACTTACTTTAAAAATTAAACTATTACAACTAATATTTTAAATAGAAAGTATAAAATTTTTAATTTTAAAAAAATTATATTAGTAACGAATATGATAAACTACATTTATCCTAATTAAATAAATTAAAGATATTAAAATTTAAAAAAAGTGTCACACTGTTTTTGTTTTTGTTATGATTTTAACATTGGCGTTGACATAAGTTTTAATTTATATTTTTTTATGATATTAATAGGAAAATAATTTAAAAAATATATAAATATTTTAATTTTTTTATCGAGAAAAAAGTAAAATGAAATATTTATTTATTTATTTAGATTTGTTGCTGGGGATTGGAAACCCGTACATGATGAGGGAAGCCTGAGCCAAGCAGAACTGTGGCAGCTACTAGTTAGGAGATTGCGGTCAAAGATAGGCATCAAATGAAGCATATATTAAATAATAGATTTTGTTTTCAGTTGAGTTTAAACGTACATAAATAAAAAAATTATAATATATATATATATATATATATATATATATATATTAAAATTATAAAAATATAATAAATATTTTTAATGTTATTAATTATTTTTCTTCAATTCTAGAGGCTGCAGTTAAAAAAAATCTTTAAATAATTAATAAAAGTTTATAATCTATGTATGACACACTTTGAGTCCTTAAAGCAAGAGAGCGCATAAAAAATAGTGGTCGAACCTTGACTACTACTTGTAAATTTCTTATTTAATTATAACTGTGTTTTGTAGAGTTAAAATTATGATTTGATTCTTTTTCACTTAGATTAGTATTTTATCAGTTATCTTTGTATACTTAGGAATTTTAGTTTTATCATCGTACAGGAACATTGTTTATATATTTTTATTATATTAATTTACAATATTTTAAGGTAATAAAATTATATATATATTCTAGTTTTATTTTATAAATTTAAAAGAAGAATAACTCAACTTGTATTCATTAAATTAATTTTAAATCTTTTGTAATATTTTTATACTCTTTCCGATTCATTATTTATCTCTTAAAGAAATATGTATATTTTAATTAAATTATTAATTGTACAAGTTAGAAAATTACTATAATAGACCGTCTTTCTTTATAAAAAAAATACTTTTTAAAATGAGTTAGAATGTAATTATAATTTTTTAAGTATTTAGATGGTATACTAATAAATTTAGATATCATTAAAAGAATAATTAATACTTTTAAATTTTTAAAATTTACAAAATAATTTAAAACATTAAAATAATCAAAAAATATGATATGATAGATTAATTATTAAATTTAAACAATATTAACATTTCATTAATAAATTGTACATTTGTGAATGTACGAATTATAAAAAAAAAATTGATATCAATATAATAGAACTTAATTATTATGTTGATAATATTTAAACTTTATATAAAAATATTAAAAACACAATCTTAGTGAACTTATTGTATAAATAAGAGTTAGACTATTTACGAGATGGAGCATTTAGTGAAATTATTCTCTTTCATAATTTGTTACATGTATATGTTATAATTGAAATTGAGTCAAAATAATATATAAATTATATTTTTTCTTACTTCATTGATTTTACTTTACACTAATTTTTTATTAATTTATTTTAAAATTTGAAAATTAACGTTTCTTATTTTTTATTATCTTATATAAAATTTTAAATTTTAAATAAATATCTATTTTTATATTTATAAAAATATTTATTAACTTATATAAACATATTTATGCTTAAATTTATATTTTTTATTACTTTAAATAAATTTTAAATTTCTTATAAATATTTATGTTTATATTTATCAAACTTATAATACTTATATTTAATATATTATACGCAGTAGTCTTAATTAAAAGTTTCAGTAATTATATATTTTTAGTTTTGTAAAGAAAATATTTTCTTTATGAAAAAAATACATAATTCATAAATTTTATCTATTTTTTTTCTCAAAATTTGTACTAATCTAACATATTATATCCTACGACCTTTTCTTAAATTAATTATAATAAATATACCTTTTATATTAATTTTTTCACTCCTCTCTAACTACCATAATATCATACATATAAAATATGTGTAATCTTTAATATTTATATTTTTTTTAACATAATAGATATATAAATTATATTGTGTTAAGATATATATCTTAATCTAATATTTGTTAGTATATTATATTTAATTGATTTTTATATAAAAATATCAATTTTTTTTAAAAAATATATTTTTATAATATATTCTAATATTTTTTAATTATTGAATTATATATATGTACTTATTTTAAAATAAAATATATCTACATTGTACGAAATATTAAACTAATAAATATTAATTTTATTGCTTAAAAATTGCTAAAAAGAAAAAAAGTCAGATAACATAACATTAGCTCTAGGATCCCACTTTCCACTTGTAGTTCTGGCTTCCTAATACACTACCACCCGGATCTTTTTGACCGATCAAGCGGGTAAACACTTACCTTGATAATGTTAAAATTAATTTCATTATGCTATTTAAAAATTACATTCCTATTATCTGTACATCAATTAATTAATATTATGTTTAATATAATATATAATATTCTTTCTCAGTTATTTTTTTATTTATATATATTTTAAAAATAAAAAAAAATTCTTACTTTTGATTTAACTTTTTCATTTAAATTATATCTGATAATTAGTGAAATAATAAATTATAATTCGTTAAATATAAATTAAATAAAAAATTTAATTCAAATATAAGAATTTTTATACTAATATTAATATAAAAAAATTATATCTCTTTAAAAATTAATTATATAATTAGAGAAAAAATGAATTATACATAAATTATTTCTTTAACACATTTTCAAAAGAAAAACAAATATTAAAAATAAAAAACATTTATTAAACAGTACAACATTAATATTATCAATCCGAAAACAAACACCATCCACCGCTCATTCTTCCAATTTCTCATCCTACCTTCAACGCCGCATCTTCTACTCACGTACCCCATTCGTAGTTCATAGACCACGTACTTCTCCTGCACCATTCTGTCTTGACGGTAGATAATTATTAATAAATAATAATTTTTACTAAAAATATTAAATTTATTTTATTAATACATTAAATTTTGTTATATCTTTTAAATTTTAAAAAATAGAAAATATTATTGTAAAATGATTAAAAGTTTGGTTTATCAAAATATTTTTCTTTTTATTCAATGTTTTTAATTAAAAATGACATTAATTTAACATTAAAAATAACGATAAACACCCAAGTCACCGAAGTCTTTCCTCCCTTAAGGAACAAGTTCATAAAATTTAATCAAGGTGTATATTGTTCTTGACTGCATACTCAATCGGGTAATAAAGTCAACATTTTCTTTTGGTGCGTTAATAAATAAATTTAACATGAGTTTGTGCTTATTACAACACATTTCAACAGCCATAATCAATCATTTGTAAAAGGTTTTCCATTTTCGCTTTCACGGCACTATGTTCTTTCTTTTCGTCCCTTTTATAGAGAAACAAGATACATTTGTATTTAGTTGGTACCGCAGGTAATATTTTATTCACCTTTGACACAAATTATTGAAAATTATACCAGTTTTCTGATGCTCTCCATACAAATAATTAAATGGGCAAAAATTAGGTTTATTTATATATATGGATTTGAAGGCAACTTTTGATAAAAAATTGCCTGACAATTTTTCAAAAATTCTCATTTTTGTAATTTTTTTTTTCCAAAACACTATCTTTTCATATAAAAAATCCCAAAAAGTTTCCACTTTTACCATAACCTCTAAAGCCTTGTGATTTACAAAACATTGTGCTTCTTTTTCAGAGTTCAGACTACTCTATCATATCATGTATGTACACAGGAGAAAAAAGCCTTTAGTTATAGGAAGGGGTGGTCCTACCACCTATACAAAATGCGCTTTGTATGTCTAAAAGGCTAGAAAAGACATCAGCTTCAAAATAAATTAATATCTTCATGAGAAAAGCATTTTGAGGTCTTGAATCCTAGCAGTCCGAACCTCATCATCGGTGAGGGCACCGGATATCATCCTCTGTTTCCTCGCTTGCACTTGCTGCAATCGATCTTCCACTGTGCCCTGTTCACATACCCAATAAAAATAGAGGGAAAAAAAAGGACAACAAAACAACGTGCATATTAAAACCAGACGAAGAAAAGTTTTTCAACACAATGACGCAACAAAAGGATAAGGTGAGACTACTTAAGAAAAACGTGATCAATGTGAGAAACTGGATTTTCTACGCACTTTAGGAGAAAAAGATATCAAAACCATAATATTTGACTGCTCAAAGAAGTTTAGAACATTTGTTATTGAGCTGTATCAAGGTAATCAACGTAAATAGTCAAAATGGAAACCCATGCCATTTGGTAGGAAAAACAATGCTGTTTATAAAATTAACAAGGCAGGCGCCTTCTGGCAAACAAAAAGGGAACTTTGAATATTCCATGTCCAATCTTGGACATACATTTGACTGATCGGAAGTCGGCAACATGGGAATCTCGGTTTAGAGAATGAGAAGATGGGTAGGATTGCATTTGTTATCAATTAAGAAAATAGAGAAAATAGATTAACTAACCTCCACAATGAATCTTCTAACAATTACTCGTCGCTTTTGTCCTATACGATGAATTCTCATTATTGCCTGCTCCTCAACTGCAGGATTCCACCATGGATCCTACAATTTCAACACAAAATTAACCCCACTCAGACTGTTGAAGTTTCACAAGATGTGCAGAGGGGAAGAAGAGAAACAGGCATAGCTTACCATAATGAAAACATTTGAGGCTGCAGTTAAGTTCAAACCCACACCACCAGCCCTTAGTGACATCAACAAAACCTGAAACAGTGCGATGGGAAAAAGTGATTCATTGGTGTTACTTTTCACTGGAAATGATAGATGTTCAAATTGACTTCACTTACCCTTTTCTCTCTTGTCTCGTTAAATTCATCCAGAACTTTCTCCCTCTGTTTCTGAGACAGTTTACCATCAAATCTTAAATATCCAATTCCTGTCCTCCTCAATGGGTTCTCCAACAGATCGAAAAACGAAGTCCACTGACTGAAGACAATACTCTTTTCACCTGAGGATGACCTCTGAATCTGTTGCAAGAAATTCAATAGCTTTGAAACCTTCGAAGATTCTGTCAAATTGTTCTTAATATCAACCTTGAATGGACTTTCGGAAGGACAAGTGATCAGATCAGTTTTCTGGAGCGGTTGACGACAGATTGGACATTTACCACCCGCTGAGGTACCCCAGCAATTAAATAGACATTCTCTACAAAATCTATGGGCACATGGTGTAAAGACAGGATCATCAGGAGATTCCATACAGATAGAGCATTCTACAGTTTCACCCTTTTGAATATGCTCCAAAACCTCATCAATGTATGCACGAGATTGGATAGAATGAGCAGCAGAATCAGAATTTAGAAGGATTCTACTTGCGAGTTTGTTCAACTCTGCATGTTGTTGGGGGTCACGTTGATTGCATACATCAGGGGATTCAGTATTCGATTGAAGGAATCTTCTTGCGAGTCTGCTTAAGTTTGCATATTTCTGGGAATCACTTCCACTGCATAGACGAGGCAAATTCTTATTATAGGCAGAAGAATTGGGAAAGGAAAACATGCAAGCATTTCAATGTGTTTTCCACACTCACCACATAACCAAAAATGGATGGTTACAACACCGTCTCAACTGCATTAGCAGGTCAAGGATATTGGCATAATGGTGAAGAACCTTTCCTTGTGCAACATACTGATCAAATTGAACCTATTTGCATTGCATAACAAGTTCAAGAGTCATGAGATAGTGAAGATGCGAAACATAATTACAACTAAAAGACATCCAATAAGTGATGAAGAGGATAATGAAACAGATTTTTATTCAAAACTAGTCACAAACCAGAAGTTGTGGTACAAAACTTACTTTAGATCCGGCGAAAAGGGCATCATAGAAGTCCCTTTCGGATTCTGACTGTTCACACTCAATCAATTGAATATCAGTTGGTGGCAGAAAAAGTATAGGCCTGCCAAAACATATACGCCATCGATATCATGAATAAAAATATACATTTATATTACAAAAAAACACATAATTTAAGTGAAGTGAGAATGACTACCTTACTTCCTTGTCCTTAGTTTCCTTCGTTCTTCTTAACATCAATGTCCTCAAAATGGCCTTGACCAACTTCAGGGCTCTCGGATCACCATTCTCATAAGGCCTTTGAACCAACTTATGCCACCTATACATATGGTTACAACAATCAAAATGAGTACTGGTTCTTTAAAAAATGACTTCTTTTATAAAAACAATGAACATAATTTAGGTTTACTACAAGTTAGAATCATATTCTTGCCATACCATGCCCAGTTGCACCAAGGTTCAACACGCAAGAAACACAAGAGGCTGAATAGGTCTTCCAAGCTATTCTGCGATAGAGAACGTCGCATTTCACAAACGAGGTTTTGGAAGGTGAGTTCTTTTGCTGAATAAACGAGACCCTTATTCTAATAATTACCAAAGTACTGAGTTAATGATAATTAAAAAGACAAACCTGAAGCGGGGTTCCAGTTAGACACCAACGGCTATGTGAGGACAAAGTAAAAGTAGCCTGGGCAGTCTGGCTTCTATGGGCTTTTATATTATGAGCTTCGTCTAGCACCACCCTGTACCACTGGACCCTGTGGTAGATGCTATTGTCTCCATCCTGGTTTCAAAAATCAGGAACCCTATATGAAGAAGCTTCACTACGCAAATAGAAGAAAAGAAAACACAAAGGAACATATCCTTACACTTTTGTATGAAGCTGATAGGACACCGTAGGTTGTTAAGACAACATCATGCTCTGAGATCAACTCGGGATCATTGGTTCTACCGCCACCATAATGAACAAATATAGATATACTACCTGATTTTGAATGCGTTTCTAGCTCATCCTGAAGATTTTAAATACTTGTGAGCTACCTTAACAATTATAATGTGCAATCGAACCATTAAATATATATGTATTTGGTACAATACAAAGAAAGCTCACCTTCCACTGACCTAACAAAGCCATGGGACAAACAATAAGAGTGCCACCCTTAACTTTATACAAGGAATTAGCATTCTTTCTCTTATTTGTTATAATATTATCATTCTCTGCATCCCTTTTTTCTGAGTTGCCCCAGCCTGGGTTACTGAGAATCAAAGCAATAGTCATAACAGTCTTTCCAAGTCCCATAGCATCCGCTAGAATCTATAATCGAAGACATACAAGTAAACAAACAAATAAATAAAAATCAATTTCGTAAGTACGTAAGGTAATGTAGTCTTTGAAAAATGAAGGCCTGACACACTCACTCCTCCTCTTGCCATCTGTGTTGCTTTTGGAAACTTCTTTGTTGCTTCCCCCGTGAAAATGTTCACATAAATTGTCCTTCTGCCAGAAAGAAAGTCAGGTTAAGTTCGACACATTGAGTAAAAAACGTCATTCTGTTTGAGTCATTTACAAATAGAACATACCCATTGCATATACTGTAGGCTGACCAGCACGGATGCAGATTCCTCTCAGCAATCTCCACATCCATTCCCTTCTCAATTTCTGACATCCAATACAGAGCTTGCTTCTGGTAAGGCTTTAGATTACACGTTAGTGCCCATGGGGCTTCTTTCTCCTAAACATACACAAGACGCAAAAAGGTTGATAACAAGTGACGCCAGAGATAATAGATAATTAGCTTAAAGATAAGCAATTGAAGTCAAAACACCTGAAAATTATTTACCTCCAAGTCATATATTTCTGCAGTTCCAACAAGTTTATTCAAAGCTGACTCTGAAAGAGCTGGTTCATCGTCATTTTGCTCCGGAAGCTGTTCACCGCCCTTTCTTCGCTTGATCAAAGGCAATGCTGCAGCTTCATCTGACTCAACCTGTTAGTATCAACAGCATAATCAGGCCTCTATGCATGCAGAGGATAGCTGCTTACAGAATCAGCCAACATTAATGATAACTACATTCATTTCACGATCCCAATTCTTTAACATTAGCACCATCAACGCTATACTTCATTAAAAGGAGAAGTAAGGTAAATAGTAGCACATACCTTTGGATAGAGCAGCCGCTTCCGAGAATCTATATCCTCAGGGGTGAATTCAGCCTGGCAAATGTAGCCACCCATTACAAATGCAGCAATAAAAAAACCACAATTTTTTAATATATTAAGAAGGGTCAGTTACCTTTTGAGATGGCTTAATATCTAGCATTTTAAACAGTGTAAGGATTGGATAAATTGTATCATCAATTTTACCACAAGCCTCTAGCCTCCAAGAGGTATCAACACGCTCAGAAAACACAGAGTGATGAATATAAAAGCTGCCAAAAACAAAAAGCATCAATTAGATTCCTCCACCAACAGATACACAACTAGCACAATCCAATTTAACTGAAACATCCAAATGAACACACAAAGTAAACAAACAAACGAAAAAAAAAAACAAAAAAACACTTTCAACCAATACCATTTGAATAAAAAAGACAGACCCAAAAGGCCACAATACCTCACTAACAACATAATCTCCTGCATCATCTGCAGTTTGTCCGGCGCTGCGATGCATCGGCCTCGAACCCTAACCTTTCCGGATTGCACAAGTGGAATCACAGTTTTCGCCCATTCCATCGGCAGCCTCCCAACCTGAAATTCAATTCAACCACACAAAACACAATGCACCGTTAAGCCCTTTCCCAAAGCATTTTTCACTTTTTATCAAAATCAATCACATTTTAAACCAAAAACACCATAAACTCATTTTCCAAAATACTTAACGGTTAGTTACCTCTCCCGAACGCTTTGTTGAGATGCGAACAATCAACCGAGACTTGATAGAGTACGTGGGCAGAGGAAAATTGAAGTGAACGATTTCATTGTCCACCAACTTCCTTGCTCCTCTCGCGGTCGAAATCGCAACCTCAACCTTCCTTCCCATCAATAACCAACCAGGTTCTTCAGGAAACTCGCCATCCTCAAGATTCGGAATCTTCCTCTCTTCAACAACCGGTTTGTTCATGAAGTTCAGTTCCTCGAAGGGTTTACTAGCCTCCATTTCATCCAAAACAACCTCCTTCTTCACTTTAACAATTTCCGGCACCGTTCGAATCGTTGATTCTTTTTCTCCTTTGAGTGACGCCATTGATTTCATAGCGTCGTCTTCGGACGCGACTTTCGTCTTTGTCGCCTTGAGAAACTTGTCGAACGAAAGCCTAGGTTGAGAAACGTTGAAGCCAGTTTCTCCTTGTTCTTCTTTTTCTTGGGGCTCTTCCTTCACTTTGGTTATGGTCGCGTTAGGGTTCAGCGGCGCCGCCAGAACGCGCGCACCGCCGGTGCTGGTGAGGGCGCGGACCACCGTGAGGGGCTGGGCCACGAGGACGGGGTTGCCGTTTACGAAAACGACATTGTTGTTTTTCAATGGGGAGGGAAGATTCTGGAATGTTGTTTCTTCTTCTGATGCTGCTACGGAATGTTCTTCCGCCATAGATAACGAAATATCAGAAAAATAAATTAAGAAGTGAGAGAAAAGAAAAGAAGATGTGAAGACGAAGAGTGAGGGAGGGTTTGAGTTTATAAAGATAAACGATAAAAGAGCGGGTTTTTCATAGACGTGAGAGTGGCGCGAAACCATTTTACATTTTAGCCTGTTTTGTTTTGTTTTTTTGTTTTTGGAAATAATATAAATATCAGCACAAATATTAAGTGAATATATTAAATATTAAATACGTTAATTTTAACAGCGGGAAAGCACTGCAGTATGCATAGTTAGGATGAAAAGAGAGGTTAAAGGAGGAATGTACTCCGGTGATGGATGGTCAATCAAAATTTCGTATTTTACTCATTTATAATTATTATTTACCTATCTGAAGGAATCAAAATTTATTATGCATTTATTTTTACAAGAATAAATTATGAATTTATTTTTGGATTATATGCTAATACTAAAAGTATAATAATAACATGTTTATTATTATTATTGAAATTTTTTATATTGTTATATAATGTGTGTTTATCAACAAGAATTTCATGTATCATACTAATATTTGTAAAGATGTGTAAATTGATGATAATTTTGAAAAATTATATAAAAATTATTTTGTTAGGAAAATTAAATGTAAATGTTTAAAATTATCATTTGAAATTTTTTATTCTATTTTTAGTGGTTAATATTAATTTGTTTTGCAATTACATGTGTAAACACTAATTAACAAATAACCCTCATCTATCTACACCCATAGATTAAGTGTGAGTTTATATTGAAATATTTTTTTTTAATTATGCAAAAAATTATAAAAATAGTATTTATTTTTGTCCGAAATTTTGTAACATCAAATTATGAATTTATTTTTTTTTTAAATAGCTTGTTTTTGAATTGAGTAAAAATTTTAAACTAATGATTAAAGTTATCAAGTTATTTTTTAGTTCAATTTTATTTTTATAATCATTTAAATATAAAATTAATTAGTATAAATAACTTCTTTTTGGTAATTTTACCCTAGGAAAGTGTCTTTTTTATACAATTCAAATAAAATAAATTATTTTAAAATTAATTTGTAGTTAAAAATGTAATATATTCAAGCATCAAACTTATTTTATGTGATTATTAAAATAATCAATAATAAATATGATTACTTATTAAACAAATATTTCAACTAATCTAAATGCATGCTAAATTTGTTATTTAGTTTTTAATTTTTATAAAGTCATAGTATATTTTCTTTTCTCACATAGTTACAAGTCATTCTTATACTGTGACGTGTGCATGAATTTTCATGTTAAATCAAATTAAATTAACATTAATTAAGATCTATTAGAAAAGTATTTCTTGATCATATCTCTAGTCTATTTAGGGTCTTATATCTATATCTTGTACATGGGAGAACATTGTTATTTTGTGATATTTGTTGAATATTGGAAAAGATAAAAAAAACTTACAAAAATTGAGGTGAATTTTGGTATTGATAATCCAAAGTTCTCACAACATTGTTGAAGATTAATACAAAAATATTGGAAAAGAAAAGATCAAGAGAAGATAAAATTAAAACGGGATATGATTGTTAGTTTTACATATGCTCTTCTTTCATCCCGAAATCAGCCTTATATAGAGATTTCCAATCATGTAGTTGTATTCCTTCTTATTTTGTTTTAATGTTTGACATGTGTTTATTTGTCACGCTCAAATGAAGATATTGCCAACACTTTCTTTTACTATTTATTGTGTACTATTTATCTATTATGCTTGTCGACACTTTTTTTTAAGTCTTTATCCATGTTTTTTTATTGATGGTAAAATTTATCTATATTCACATGATGTAATAATATCGTAACAATCATCTTCATTGTTATAACCAAAGTCCTCCATGTCTTCTAGTGGACTTGGGTTAGGACCACTCTGTACCTCATCTTCTTCTTTATTTTCTGATTTGCATCAGACACTTTTGGAGATATTGTTTGTATTATCTTATTGAATTCTTCTTTGGATCCTTTTACATTTAGGCTGGCTAGGAGTCTGGATTTTTGTTATAAAAACAATTGGTTTCTTTTTCCTGATAATTTTGAGAGGGTTAAACTAGAAGGGGCTGCTAAACTGGAATTTATATTTTTAAAGTACATTTGTAACCATTAGTCTATTTTTTGTTTGCAAAGTAGTTTAAGATTGAACTTACTCCTCCATGTTACTTTTGAATCATATTTCCACATTGTAATCCAAGTAATTCCTTGACTTGCAAAGAAGGATATGAATTTATATTATTGAGTAGAATTTGTTTTACTTATAAAATATTGTAATGTTATTTTTGCTTTCCCAAGTAGTATGGAGGTTATTGGTCCAAAGTTATAAAACCAATAGTAGAATTATTTTGGAAATTTTAGAGAAATTCATTTTCTAAACCAGATTAACCATGAATGGGTCACTGATCTAAAATAGAGAATATTTCTCCAAGCATTGATATAATCAAAATAATTAAATTGTTTTGTCTGATAATTTATTGTAAAACTCTTATAATGGTAAAAGGGTTGTTCCCAGTCTCATATTGTCAAAATATTGTTTATTTTGAATTTTAAAAATATTATTTCTTGAGTTTTAGGATCATTTTGAATTGTTAATTCAATACTATGAATATTTCTCCAAACACTAATATAATCAAAATAATTATATTATTTTACCTAATAATTATCTTTTGTAATTTTATAATATACTCTATATATTAGATGAAAATGATCATAAGTGTCATCTACTATATGATCTGGTGATTTTATAAATATTTTTTTTAGCTTTAGGAGTTTTTTCATTATTTAAACTCAAAAATTTTTAGAAAACAATTAAATAAAACTGGTCCATCATAGAGGTTGCTTTCTAAGGCTGCTATTATTAAATCTTTTATTCTTAATAATTTCATATCTCATAGAAGTACAAGGACCAAAAGATTAACTCTTAACTCATAATTTGGTTTAACTGCTAATTGAATCAATCCTAAATGAATAAAATTAAATCCATCTTTTTTTTATGTTTTTGTACAATATGATCTTCTAATAGTTGTATTTCTTTTTTTCCTTGAGTTTCGAGATAGGAATACTCAATCTTGTGAATTTCTTCATTATGATTAAAAGACCAAAATGATTTTTGTTGATATATATATCTTTTTTTTTTATGACTGGTATTGACCAATTATGTAGAGATTTTTCAATATCACTTATTGTAATATGTTGTTGAATTTTTCTAAGTTTAATTTATTCATTATTCTTAGTAGATTAGTCATTTTCAGTTTCTAACCTTAATGCAACAGGATCACTCCTAGCTAACTAATAGTTTCACTACCATCTTTTGGACTTATTACTAGGACCACTATTTAAGCTAATCGACATCTTGCTGCTACACCTAGGTTTAAACTAACTAAAACTTCCTCACTACCAAGCACAACTTGTAAACTAATCTCACTCTCTCTCCCTTCTTAAAATTAGAACATGTTAAATTTTGATACTAACTAAAGATGGATAGCACAACATTTTGATTAAACATGTTAAATGTATATAAAAGTAGTATAAAAAATGAGAAATATTGGAATGTATATATATATATATATATATATATATATATATATATTATATAACAAGATTTTGAATTTTCTCAAATTCATATTAAATTTGTTTTCCATGATTCAAACTCATTTCTTTTAAGTGATAATTTTTTTTATTGTGATAATGTCATAGAATATTGTAACTCTAAACTTCAATTACTCGTAGAACATGATACTGGATGAGACTGTTGCTACTTGATGATTGCTCAGATTGCATAAAGATTTATTGCAAATCCTCATCAAAGTATGCAGAAATTTTGTGTAATCTAGGATGCAAGTCTATGTTGTCTCCGATGACTGTGCTTGAAAATGTGCATTAAACATGTTACAAACATTCACTATGAAAGCAAGTAAAAAGGGGTTTGTTTGATTTCCAAATTCAATGTAGAGAGCAATTAATGAAATTATAAAAGTCAATCAATAAGATGTAGCAATCCTTAGTTCATTCACGCGACTTTATCCCTATTCCTCCTAACATTTAACACTCTTCCTCTTCCTTTGAATTAGGTTAATTCAACAAGCGAGAATCAACCTTAAAATCCCATACGAATTTAAGCAAATTCAATGGACTCCAACCCCTTTTCTCAGGATTACACAACCTTAGAAATTAACTCAGAAGTAAGCGAACCAAGTTAAGAATCTCATATTAGGGTTAATTAAGCAATATCCCCCTCATTTAACCATTAATTCAATTCAAAGGATTGGGAAAAAGAAATTCATGAAGGAAAAGGAATTGTATTAACATTCATAATCTAGGAATTCAAGAATCCAAGTGAACTCACTAAGGATTACAAAAGATTTAGCCTTCCATGAGGATGAGTCTCACAAATACAAGATGAAAACAAAGAGAATTCAATGACATGAATATAAAAATCAAAGGAAAGTAAAGAAAAAAATGTGAATTAAACGTTAGGTTGGGTCCTTGGCTGTTACCCAAGACTGACCTAAGCTCTACAAGTGTTCCCAAAATGGCAAAAATCTAAGAGTGTAAAAAGCTCCCTAACCCTAAATCCATTTATAGTTGTAACGCCCCTAATTTTGTAATATTAATTATTATATTTATATAAATCTAAATGTGTATATATATATATATATATATATATATATGTATGTATGTATGTGTTGATTTACTTGATAATGATGTTTATGTGTATTAAGTATATGGATGTGTGTATTGTGTATATGCATGACTGGATAGGGCTGAAATAGGCTGAGTGCCTAAGTGTAGGGCGTGATACTGGGCTGTTCTCGCTGCAGCGAGAGGATTCTCGATGTAGCGAGAGGGCCCTAGGAGGAAGGACTGACACTGTCACCTTCTCGCTGTAGCGAGAGAACGACAGTTTAAGGTGCATTTCTGGGTGCAGTCTCACTGTAGCGAGATTATGCAGAAACCAGAGTGTAATTTTGT